GACTATTATGAGTAAAATTTAAGACCAACACGATGCATTACTAGAAACATTCGAATGATACCAGAATTTCTCATATTTTATGTCACTCATATCCTTAGCCCAACATCCACATATCATATGTGTTTACAAAGTGCGTTTTAATATGTTCACATGTGTTTAAAGCATGTGGGAGTGGTATTTCAAGGCTTAAACTATAAAAAGTTTATGTACATAGTCTTTCTATATCGCGGATTTTCACGTTATTATCGCGTCTGGAACGTAACTTCCGTGATAGGCGGGGGGTCCCTATATATTTTCACCTATCGCTGATGGGTCTGGATCCCCCGCCTATCGCGGAAGTTACGTTCCAGACGCGATAATAACGTGAAAATCCGCGATATAGAAAGACTATGTACATAAACTTTTTATAGTTTAAGCCTTGAAATACCACTCCCACATGCTTTAAACACATGTGAACTTATTAAAACGCACTTTGTAAACACATATGATATGTGGATGTTGGGCTAAGGATATGAGTGACATAAAATATGAGAAATTCTGGTATCATTCGAATGTTTCTAGTAATGCATCGTGTTGGTCTTAAATTTTACTCATAATGGTCTTAAAATGTCTTAAAAAGGTCTTAAATTTAACTTACTGAAACCTGCAAGAACCCTGGAAGTGATACCTCATGAGGGCTGGGGGCCGTGTCTGCTCGAGCTTCCCCTTCTAGGGCAGGTAGTGATGAGCATGTGATCCATGTCCTTTCTCTTTACAGATCTTGGTGGACACAGTATGGGCGCTCTCGTACCTGACGGACGGAGGTAACGAACAGATTCAGATGGTCATCGACTCGGGCGTGGTTCCCTTCCTTGTGCCATTGTTAAGCCACCAGGAGGTCAAAGTTCAGGTGAGTGAACTGTTGGATCTGTAGCTCGTTTTGTATGTCAAATACATAGCTTTTGCATGTAATATACAAATCCCCCTGTAGCTTAAATAGCCAGCCTCTGTAAGGTAATGGCTGGGTTGTTTGTTGCCTAACGTGTCACTTCGTGTTTGCAGACAGCTGCACTTAGGGCAGTAGGCAACATCGTAACGGGCACGGATGAGCAGACACAAGTGGTGCTCAACTGTGACGTGCTCTCCCACTTCCCCAACTTACTCACGCACCCCAAGGAGAAGATAAATAAGGTGAGCTAGAGGCCATGCGTGTTGGCTGCTGTTTACATTCACCTTCCCCTTGGTCTCCCTGCGTACCCCAGGACTGATGTCATTATGATGGAGGCTGGGTCTTTGTGTGGAGTGTCTTCATGTGTCTGGTCCAGTATAATGGATCTTGTGGACCGTATTCTTCAGTATTTTAAGTTCACATTTGACCTTAAATTTGACCCCCCCCATTTGACATTTGACCCCCCCCATTTCTGCTGTCAGCCATTTTGTTGGCATTTTCCACATCCCCAAAGGAAAATGTTAAACCCAACACAGTAATTTCTAGAATATCCGCAATGCACCACACTGTTGTGTGCAAATGGTGCATGCTATCCTGAAAACAGCATCTCACACAAGCTTAAATTTATACTGTGAGTTTATAAACCTTTTTGTTAAGTTAAAAAAGTTTGGGTAACACTTTACTTATAGTCGTCATAATGCGTAATAGATGCCTTCATAATGCATTATAATCCATTCATAAAGTATTACGAACATGGCTATATTTATTAAAATGGCATAACACATTATAGCCATTTTTATTATGGATGCTATATGAAGCTCTTATCTCGTAATACACTATACATGCCTTCATAATGTATTTTAATGGTGAGTATAATGCATTATAATGCACTAGGAAGGTATTTATAGTGCATTATAGATGAGAGCTTCATAGATACACTGATACATGTTATTTGACTAAAAGCTCTTTTGTATGCACAGCTGTCATTCAGATATTTCTTGTGTAATCATGTCGTAGCGAAAATGAAGGCTTTTAATTACAGAGGAACACTAATTATAAGTCATTTAAAATGTACTGTACTGTGTACTGCTGCCTTAAATGTAGCAAGGCAGGGCTGCAGGGGTGTTGTGGTTTCATGGCGGTAGAATCCGGGCCTCCAGTCTGTTCGGTAGCTCGGCAAACAGCAAAACTGACACATGCTGGGGAGACCAGGTAGAATATGGAGCATTTTAACATTTTAGTTTATGCTTCATGACTGTGTGGGAGGGTGGATGATGTTCTCTTCACTATGCAGAAAATACCTTTTATTGTGGGCTGATGCTTATACAAATTCTCCTTGTGGAACAAAGACAGCATCCATTGTTCCTCAGTCATATGGCATTCTGCATTTGCCTTTTGTTTTATGAGCCCTGACACGTCTACATTCCTCTAGGAGGCAGTATGGTTCCTGTCCAACATAACAGCTGGGAACCAGCAACAAGTGCAGGCTGTGATTGACGCCGGTCTCATCCCCATGATCATCCACCAGCTGGCCAAGGTAGGAATCCCTTCTCCATACATCTTACCTACTGGCTGTAAGAAGCCAATCTATCTGGGCCAGCCTTCTGGGAAAGTCAAACCACTTAGTCACTGGTTCGCTGGTTCTGTCTTCAGTTCCCCATCCCAAGATATGGTGCTGATTTGACAGCCCACTCCCCCCCCCCCCCCAAACCAGCAGAGAAGTAATTTCAGGTTCACTAAGCTGACTCAACTTTACTCTGTGAAGTAGGACGTATTTTTCCATCTCTGCATAAATATAGTGCAGCCTCACTGTTTTGCTGTCCGTCTCCAGCCTCAGCTGAAGGAGTCTTAGCGTGTTCATGCTCTGCCTTTGGTCCTCTGTCCGCTGTGTCTGCAGGGTGATTTTGGCACGCAGAAGGAGGCAGCTTGGGCAATTAGCAACTTGACAATAAGTGGAAGGAAAGATCAGGTAATTATTATTTTTTTTTTGGTGAACATAGTCCCTTCCCCAGGTTAAGGTCAGTGGGCCATTTGTTCGCCACCATTTTGAAATGTTGACTTTTCTTCTCGCAGGTGGAGTACCTGGTCCAGCAGAATGTTATACCACCCTTCTGTAACCTCCTCTCGGTGAAGGACTCTCAGGTCGTCCAGGTAGTTCTTGATGGGCTTAAGAACATCCTGATAATGGCAGGGGAGGAGGCCAGCACGATTGCGGAGATTATCGAAGAGTGTGGAGGTAGGGGCAGGTGAAACAGACGTGGGGGGGGGGGCGGCATATGGTGTGGCCATTTCTGGGCTGTTTAACAGGGATCCGGTCACGGAATGACCTGGATTTCCATTGTTGTGGATTTCTGTCGCAGTATTAATGCATTTCCATCTTAATTACAGGTCTGGAGAAAATAGAGAGCCTTCAGCAGCATGAAAATGAGGATATCTACAAGTTAGCGTTTGAAATTATCGACCAGTACTTTTCAGGGGATGATGTGAGTGTGGCGTCCAATCTAATGCAATGGGGAAAAAAATGTATTACAGGCTACTTTAGATGAAGCGATATATCTGTTGTGGTTCTCTGTATTTATATATACCACAGACTGTATCACTATGACAAACTGTGGACGTGATCGATGAATTAGCATTTTTACGATCTGTGCAGTGTTTATCTGGGGTGTCATGATTGTGCCTTAGCTTGCCTGAGATGAACGGGGCTGCCTTTGGATGTAACCTGTTCCAAACACTGTTCCGCAGATTGACGAGGATCCCAGTCTGATCCCAGAAGCCACCCAAGGCGGCACCTTCAACTTTGACCCCACCTCCAGCCTGCAGACCAAGGAGTTCAAGTTCTAGAGCAGATGTGCGGGTCGCCCCGCTGTCCTGCACTTCATCACCTTCAGAACATCATGACAGACCCACTAACCTGAACCATATACCGTCGCCGCTGCCGACGACCCTAAATATCACAGAATCTGGAAGAAAAACAAAAACAGGAAAAAAAAAAAGGAAACTCATGACTGTCACTCTGCAGTTGCCAAATGTCTTTCTCACACACAGACTTTAAGGAATTTGTGTGCATGAGTGTACACACACACACCATGTTGGTGCGGCAGCACAGCCCTGACCTTATTCCCCTGGCTGAGGGCTGCTTTGTCATTTTATTGTTTTCCCCGTTGGCTTTTGTTTCCTGGATTCACCTCCGTCTCACTCAGCTGACCACCTAGAACACCACCCTGGTTGAAGATGTTCCACCCCAAAGTCATGTATCAGTGCGACTGTGTCAGCCTCCCCGCTGGAAAGTCCAGGTCCAATCCAACTGGCGTGGGGGTACACTAATGGTCAACTTGGAGTTCTTTAGTTACCTATCACTGCTGTTCTCAATTTTGGTTTTGTCCTGAGTCGTCATGGAGGATGCCTTTTACGTATGGGGGAGGGTAGTACGAAATTAAAGACTATTACTCAGTGACGAGAGTTGACACGAAAAGCTGAATTTCACTCAATCTGGAAAACAACACAAAGGAAGGAAAACTAATTTTTGTAGCATCGATCTCTCTCTGGGCCTGGAAAGCCGTAATCCGCTGGAGCTGCAGAAGATGAATGACAATGGAATTGTTTTTTTTTTTTTTTGTCATTTGTGGGTGGGGTTTTAAGACTGGATTCATGCTGCAGTACTGATGTTGCAGCCCCTGGTCGCTGGAGAGAGGAGAGCCGGCCCTCCTCCCTCTATGTTCTCCAGCTCCCGGTGGACTTCTGGTATGAAAACTCTGAGCTGTAATGTAATACTCTTCCCTCTCCTCAAGGAACAGCTTCAATCTGCAGACCTGTTACTGCTGCTCTGTTTTTGGATAATTCTGACACTCGAAAACATAATCTCACTTCAATTAAC